AAGTTACAGTTGTGCACCCGGCCATCGTTTGCCTGCTTCTGCTATCGATACACTAGCTTGCAAATCCGTCTTTACAGAAAACCTGGTTAAAAGGTAGGCAAACGGTCAGTCTCAATACTATGCATTACTTGATTTCTGATAACTTCAAGTAGCTATGTTTAAGTGTCCGGTTCTCATAATCATGTAGAAGTGTGTATGTTTTTCATACGCATATGAATCTAGAATGTGTCAAAAAATCACATAGTATGATTATATTTGTAAAAAGAGAAAGTTCCACGATCTGTCAGTGGGCCGTAAACTACCAGACTGGCCAGGCCCAGATATGTGAATTTTCTTAGGGAATTCACAACTGGAGCCTTCGGTCAGTAAAAGCAGTGGTTTAGTCGCTCGCACCGGCGTACTTTGGACCCTATTGTCCGAGCCCCGCCACTGCCACCCAACTTTTGTGGTAGGCAGGTTTTTTGTTGTCCGGTTCAATACCACACCTGACCCAACAGGGCCTATGTGGTTCGCCACTCCAAGTCCCGGGGCTTAGATTAACGGTTCCCATCACTGAACAGCAGGTCTTCGTGACTATGGGGTCCGCCCCGTCAGCTGTTCATCACACTTCGTTGTGTAATAAAAAAATATAAGGTAATGAGGCGGTGTGTGAAAACCGCAATTCATTGGGGGAATGGTTCACTAGATTATACACCATTTTTAGGGGTCAAACGTCAAAGATGCCCAATACACTTCAATGCCTGGTCGAGCCGGTGACCACCGTTACAACCCAGGTGCGAGTGAGTGTGGCTCCTTATGCCGCCTCTTGGCTGATTTGAAATCAGGTCTGTGAGCCCATTCCCCTAGGTGAACTGTTAACGGTTTATCGATCTGATTAAAGTCACCAGATATTGGCTTTTCGTCCTCTTACTCTGGTGGGAAAACACCTCCACCACGAAAAGGCAGTGAGTAGAGGTTGGTTAAAACGCTTTGACCATGCGGGAGGGAAGGGTGACTAGCCACAACCTGAAGTACCCACTTCGACCATGCTGAGGCTTTCGTAGGTTCTCGTGACTACAGTTTCACCTTTACGGTGTGTGTGAGTGATAAAAAAATATTTTTATGTTAGAACTGGATTTATCCAAAAAAATGCATAAGAAAAGAAAGCTACTAGATAATCCCAGGTTCCGTCAACTCACGTGAAATGCTCAAACAATGCAACTAATGATACCTCTAATATCTCGGATTGAGTGGGTCTAAAATACCCCCTGGTTTGTGACTTTTAATGGCCTCTTCGTTACTTGAAACATTACTTTCGCAAACCACGTAGTGCATTGTCTATCAACATCCTCGGGTCACGCTGCTTCTTAAAACTGCTGAGTATTTCTCTTTTTTTCTTGCGGTATCCAATGTGCTCAAATTGTTGTTGGGCAGATTTGAAGTTTCTATGTCGATTGTGAAAAGTTCAGTAGCCTCGGTGGGAATCGAATCTCACCGAGGCTACTGAACTTTTCACAATCGACATAAATACCACTATGTTGGCTTTGGCCCGTAGGTGGTGTTAAAGAATACGCCCCATAGAACTGATGTCTGAAACAAACGGACGCTTCAAACGATTCGATTTCAAGATGAGGCGGTCATTCCAAACCGCAACTCATTGATGGCGGGAGAGGGGCGTTGGCAGACTGTTGTCCTTGAAACCATACACCCTTCAAGGGTGGTTCACACGCTCACGGAGCCCCACCCTATCCAACTGTTGATCAACATGATCAGGGTAACCTGCAACCATTATTTACACCTTTTGAGTGAGAACTTTTTGAAATCAGAATTCTCTAGTTCCTCCCAAATGAGTCGTCAAGTCGGATATAGTCCTCTGTGCTGTAAACACCTCGGTCATGAGAAGGCAGTAAGGGGGATTTCACTAACAAATGATCAAAGAGATGCATAATGTAAGAGCTTTTTCGCAGCATGAATAAGTTATTGCCCACGTTTTCTGACCTAAACTATGACCGCGGTTTGATGCCTTCAAAGGAGGAAACAAGCAAATGGAACTAGGTTAATTTGAGAAGTAGAAGATGAAACGGCAATATGTTGTCAGTGTTATGAAGCGGACAAGCAAAGTGCAGCTTCGAAGAGCATTAACAGGCGCGAGCGGAGGTAGGAAACGGATATGTGCTGTTATGGGGGTAGTTAATACCAAGTGGAAGTAAACTTTGATCGAGTTCTGATCTAACGTGATTTGATTACCAAGATCATTCCCACAGACTCAAAAGTCTGATTTGGGTATTCCCCCAGCATTTGCAGTGCACATCAAATTCAACGGCTTACGGTCTATGCAACCGGAAACAGTTTCTCCCAGAGGGACACGAGATTGATCGCAAATTCGTATTGCAATCTCATTCAGCTGTGTGAATCCCAGTTCCAGTCAAGGAAAATTGGCTTCCGAAGCGCGAGGAACCAACAAGCATATATGCACTGTGCGACAATTACCTGTATCCAAACATCAACTTCATCTTGAAACAGGGCCAGTTTTGATGGAAAGATTTCGGATAACAATAGAACGAAATGTGACCGTCCCAAAGCATCCAGTCGAGTTTGCAAGTGACGCAGGACAGCCGATGATCCTTGTCTGCCCAAGGTTCCTGAAACGAATGTATCGGAGGTTTCATGAACAAATTGAATCATCGAACACAACGAAATTTTTAAAACATTCTAAGTGATGCATCACTGAACTCAAAATCAATCAGTGCGGCACGGATTAGCACCCTGATATAAACAAAACATACTCCGTTTCGGTTTGCCCGACCACCAATTGTGCGCCGATTACGGTTGATATTTTTGGTCACCCGTATGACCGAACAATGATGGAAGAAAAAAATCTGAGGATTACGAAACTGGGATATCAAGCACTCTCGGATTTTGAATGGATGCATGAGCGCGGTGGTGGCCCAGGTTGTAACGTCACTAAATGATCACCCCATGGATGTGTTCGAATCCCACCACCACCACCTGAATTCCCCCATTGTGTTGAATGACATCCTCTTGATTGGCCTCTACCCCCTTCCTTAAAATTGTATTGTATATTCAATAAAAGGAAGTAAAATGAAAAAAGAAAGACACTATTTAGTGATGGCACCCAGTGCCTTTAACCATTGTTGAGGCTGGGTGGTTGAGGTTCTTCTCCGAAAAGCCGAACGCGAACAACTCTACCAAATCCCCTAGTCAGTGTTGTCATGTTCTCATATTAGGTCACAGTTTGAGTCCCACTGCCTACTTCAGCAATTGGTGAAGAGTGCATCCGAGAAGATTCGACCCGATTTTGTGCAAGCTGTGGTTTCACCGATTGAATCTCCACCCTAGGCCAGCTGTTGGAACACGGTCGCACACTTAGGCCACTAACCGTTGTCGTGTCTCTAGATACCATTGTCATCATCATCATTGTACAGCGTAATACGATGAAGCGAGTCTCACTGATTACCACCAAACTCATAATGCATACAAGCTAAATGAAAATGTGTGAGGAGCATAAGGATTAGGCTTATTTTTAAGGAAGGGAAAGTAAAGCAAGCCTCTATGACCAACATACAGAGTACACAGTCAAAATGTGCATACATACTATTTCAAGCGTTCCGGTCTCCTAAGTTAAGTGACAGCAATGTCGCCACTACTGTCGGTTTTCTGCCATAACCTTTAGTGTCCCCAGCACCACCATCAGCTGCGGTCAAGCTCCCGAGGTACTTGAAGCTCTCAACTACTTCTAGCTGATCACCACAGGGGGTGAGTGCAGGCACAGGGTCCTGCAAGTCTTGAACCAGCACTTTGCACTTGGAAGGTGCAAAGCACACACCATACCTGGATACCTTGATCGCCAAGCGGTTCAAGACGTCTTGGATTGCCTGTGTGTTGTCACTGGCACTGTGATGTCACTGGCATATTCCAAGTCAAGAACTTTGTTCCGTGGGAGGAGTTCGACTCCACCGTTTGCTAGATCGGACAAAACATTCTGTAGAACATCCTATATGACAAAGTTAAAAAGGAATGGGGATATAAGGCAACCTTGTCAAACTCGAGATGGCGGAAGTTGGCCATAGGCCTTAAACCCGACCTGAGGTATAACGGTACAACTCTTTGAGGATCGACACACTTCTCAGATACTCCACTCCTCAACAAACAATTCCATAGTGCGGTCCTATAGATAGAGTCGAAGGCCGCGCGAATGTCTAAGAATACATAAACCGTTGGTCTTTGGTAGGCATGACGGTGCTCCAGCAGCTGTCGGAGGATGAAGATTTGATCGATGCATCCACGACCAGCGCGAAACCCAGCCGGCTCCCCATGCGTGGTGTACAATCGGTGGAGAATGACGGACGTCAACATCTTTGAAGCTATCGGGATTAGGCTTATACCCTTGTGAATGGCGCAGTCATTGCGCGGACCCTTTTTGAAGAAGGGGACAACAATAGACCCCCCACGAAGAGGAAACTTGCTCAGTTTTCCACACTTTGGAGAACAGGACGTGGAGTTCTCTAACAACCTTTATTCCACCATCTTTAAATAGAGCAGGGGAAAGCCATCGGAGCCCGGCGCTTTGTGACGACCCAAGGCTTGGATCTCCTTACGGATTTCCGCCTCAAAAGGTGGGTCGGTTATGACAGACCATGGGACGTGTGCCGGGATAGCTGTATGAGGAGCTGACGCTGGTGGCCAGCTAAACTGTGCTTTGAAGTGCTCCGCTCAGCGTTCAAGACGTCGCTGTTGATTGTGATTGGGCGAACCGTCAGCTTTGCAGATTGTTTCGCTCACACCTAAAGCTCTCCCACCGGTGACCCGGACGAGATGAAACAGCTTACGGGAATTTCCCATGGCGGCAGCACGTTCCATCTCTGACGCGCGTTTAGTCCACCAGATCTCGCGGTCTCTGCGTAGGCTTACGTTGAGGTTACGACTTGTTGCTCGTCGTATTTCATTATACTCGCTGCCGGTCGGGATTGATCAGCGTGCATCGAGAAGCCGTAGAGATTCCGCAGAAATCCAGGGTGTCACGCCACGACGTGTCAGACCACAACTAAGTCAGCAGAATGCAGAGTATTCTTGATAAGCTACCAATGCTGGTTAACGTCGTCGAGTGGGGTTGATTCTAGCGTTTCAGCT